TATTTCTATGAAATAATTCATGTTTCCATTTAATATTCACCTACTTTTTGAACAATATTAAGTAAGTCTAGGAAATATTTCATAATAATAAGTAAAATCAGTAAAATATTCTATATATATATAAAAGTACGCAGCATCAAAATTCTTCTAAAACAATGTATGCAAAGCACACAAAAGATACTGAATCATAAATTGTTAGTGTAAACTAAAGCTATTCTTGAGGCAAAAAGATTTCTGCTTGGTTACAGTGCTGAAATGGTTGGATCTCAAGTGCTATACTAAGGATGCTTATATTTTTATATATTTTGGTAAGGTTCTATGGCAACCAACAATATGCAGCAAACTTAACTGAACTTGAAGTTCATCCACTAACATCATCATCAGGTGTTACCTTTATTTGGATGCAAAGAAATAAAGCATTCTCTGTAAGGAGAACTGTTTCATAATACTACCACCCAAAAGGGTCCCATTTAGTTAAAAAAGAAAACAAAATCCTAAAAAGGGTATGGAGTCAAAGGAAAGTCAGACTGTGCAGGAAATCTTTAGTCACAAAGAGTTAATGCCAACTAGACGAGGGTAAACAGTAATCCCATGTTAAACTGTACACAGACCACAGTAGCTCTCTTATCTGTTATAAACTTCATCTGAAACAAAGGAAAATCTTATAAACTTTAGAGTCTTCCTTAGTTAAAATAACAGTTTAACTATTATTATTAGAATACACACACGCGCGCGCACACACACACACACACACACACGGACTTTTTTCCTTGAATGGATACTGTGAAAACTATGGTGAAAAACTCAAAACAAAATTTGGGGATCATAATGACTAATAATGAAAATGTATTCACATAACAAAAATCACTATGGATGTCTGCATTTAGCCATTTGAAGAAATGGCTTTCTGAAAGAAAAATGTACTAAATCCCATCCCTCTCTTTCATTTATATTATAGGAAAAGCACATATGAACCTGCAATATCTACAATAAATACACATTATCTATTAGAACTATATGAAACAACTTATTATCAAGATGGCAGAATGAATTCAGGAAGAAATTCTCATTGCTGTACTCCAAACACATGGTAATAATATACAAAACACTAAAAAGATAAAACTGTGCATAAAGAGGAAAATATTGCATAGACTGAAAATATACATTATCATAGTAAAAGAATGAATTATGAATTCTTATAAATTATAAGAAGATCCATATTATTATTTTGACATATACAACATTTTTCCTCAGATAAATATAATCTAGTTCTTCATTCAATGGTGGGCAAGTTAAAGCTGAAATTCATTATTTTCTTGGCACACTTCAGTTTCCTAACTATTCCTTACTGAAGTAGAAGGAAAAGGATAGTTAAAACTTCTAATAAGATGCTCTTAATTCTTGACATCAAAACCTTGTCAAAGAGCAAGTAAAATAGAAAGAAATAAAAAAAAAATTAGAACCAGAGGCCCTACAGATCAAATACATAATGAGCCAAATATAGTGTAAAGAAATAATGGCATGTAACATACAAAAAAAATATGGACTGAACTAAACATCTCTGAAGAGAAGAGACATTTTGCCAAATTCGAAATAGTGCAATTATAGTTTAAAGCTTAGCTTAAAAGAGACAGAACACAGAGAGGACTGCATACTCACAGAGGTATACTTAACCATTTACTTGCTCTGCAGCCATCATTTCATCTACCTCAAAGGGGGTTGAGATGGTCTGAATAAGGGACAAGAACAAAGGCCATTCTATCTAACAAAATCTGAAAAGTTTAAGTTGGAAAGAGTGCCGATTTTCTCTATGAACTTCTGATTAAATTTGATTATTAAATGGGGCACTTTAAATGGGGCACTAATGCAAAAGAACCAGCACAACTGAAAAGAAACTGCAAACAAACATTCTGCTTGCACAAGGGTGCCTGCGTGTGACTTTGTGATCCAATTCAAATCTATTCATACTCGGGTTAATCAATTACCTAATTTAATCAGGATCAGAATGTTTCCACCACTTCAGTGGGATGTTCATCCATTCTACCTTCGCTCCTGTCACTATGGACAATGTCCATGTTTCTACCGGAAATAATCCTTGCACTTGTCTCCGGGATCCCATCCTCTTGTATTTACTTACAATTTCAGCATGTCTTACCTTAGCAATTTCTTCTTTCTCCTATTCACATTCATCAGTATACAAACATGAAGTTATTACTCCCATCTTAAAAGAAAAAAATTCCTTCTCAGCTCATTTCCTTACCCAGCTGTTGCTGCACTTATTTACTGTTGAAAGAGTTGCCTATACTTGATTTTTCATCTCAATTCTCCTCTCACAGTACCTTTGAAGCTATTTTCTGTCTCCTCACATTCCCTTTGAACTTCCTAGTTTCTGTGATCTTCCCATCACCCACCGAAAGTGGTTTATTATGGTCTCTAATAAGATTTGTGTTGCTTAATCACTCTTCATCTTAATTGCTGAATCTACTTGCTGATGCCTTTTCCTTGATATCTTTCTTCATTTGTTTTCCCCCCAGGATCCAACAGTTAAATAATATTTGCATCCTACCTCCCGTCTCCTACCTCACAGTTTGCAGGTATCTTCCCGACCTCTACAAATTCTGGTGTGCCATGACTGAGTCCTTAGCCAAGCCACTCCTCCTTTCTGTCTTCTGTGATACTTTAATATCCAGCTTTAAATGCCATCTACACTTCACTAACGACCAGTCCTCCAAATGCTATTATCCCCCACCCCATACTCAATTCTCAAAACTAGTATTTCTATAACTGTATTCTTAACCTTTCTCTTGCAGTTTTCTTGATCTCAACCAATCCCTTTCCTTCATAGCTCAGTCTAAAAATGTTCCCTTACCTATGTCCACTTCAAATTCTGCTGCCTCTAAAAACTCCTCATGTCTACTACTCTCTCTCTTGTCTAAGATATTCACATCCTTTACCCAATTGTTGAATAAGCTTCCTATCTGCTGTATTTTCTTCTGAACTTCAGCAGGCAGACTAATCCTTTTTAAACTTAAATCAGAACATGTCCCTTGACTATTTAAAACTTTACAATTATATCCAATTCAAACTCAAAATAATAGTTACAGTCCTCACAATAATTTTGAATTTTCTCTCTCTGTTTAACTCCTGATTCTCCAAATCTTGATTCTCTGAAATTTGTTCATGCTGCTCCGTGTGCTAGTGCTTGAATATAACAGTCAAGTTCCCACACCAGGGCTTCTGTATGTGAATGCATTTTCTGCCTGGCAGGTTCTTCCAGAAATAGATTTGTCACCTTCTCACTGAGACCTTCCCTGGAACCTTAGCTAAAATCACAACCTATTCCCACCGCCAACCCACACTTTCTACCATATTTCATAGATTCCTTTTCCTCTTTAGCATTTTTCACTACCTAATTTACTTTAAATGTTGTATATTTATCATGTGTATTACCTCATTCTCTGACTAGAATTTAAACATAACGAAGGAAGGCATTTTCATGCTTCACACTCTACTGCATACAAAAGTCCCTAGCATATAAATATTCAAAGAATATCTGCTAAATTAATTACTAAACCATTAATTTTTGAAGATACATTAGAACCACCTGAGGCTAAATCGGGGGTTATGGCGTCTACTGTCCCTGGCAAACTTACAAAACTCCAGAATATTAATAAATCATAGGATTAAAATTGTTTTCTTGCTATCTGATCTGGGGGATTTAGCAATGAACTTTAAACTGAACTACCATTTTCCTTCCTTTCTCCTTTATCCTAACCTATCCAATTGCACTTCCTGGGGAGAGAGAGATGGACTCAAACTCAGGACTATCGAAGGTTTTCTAGATTCCCTGCTCAATTTCCCCCTCTGTAGCTTTGGCAAGATTAGATCTCAAATATTAAAGATAGCTAGGTCTGAGCTAGTGATATTTATCATGAAGGCTTATATTGCTTATGCATCACTCATTAATAAGGAACAAGTTACGAGGGGGTTCCCCCCAAAATATGGAATCCCCCACAGAGCTATGCACTTAATTTTTTCATAAACAACCTACCACCTTCAAAATACTCTCCATTACATTTAATAGATTTGTCAAATCTAAGATTCCATTCTTGGAAATTCATCTTTTGGATGGCTGACAGCACCTCTCCATTCACAGAAACAAAAAGAAATCACACAGAGCGAGGTCAGGTAAGAAAGGTTTGAGGCAAGAGGGGCATGCTGTTTTTTTGACAATAACTGGCGCACTAAGATGGCTGCATAAACAGGTACAATGCCGTGGTGGTCTGCCAGAAATCAGGCCATTTTAATTGCACACTGTTATGCAATCTTTTCAGAATCTCTAAATAGTAAGCTTGATTAACAGTCTGACCTGGTGGAATGATCTCCAAACGCACTATAAGTCAACATTTTCATTGGTTTGGAAAGTTGACGGATGCCCAGGATGAGGTTTGTCATCAACTGACATTTTACCTTTTTTGAAATAAGAAAACCACTCGTACACTTGAATTTTCCCCATAGCACTGTCCTTGTTAGCTGTGTTCAACATCACAACAGTTTCTGAAGCATTTTACCCTCAAGCAGTAAACAAATTTCACAGTTGCATGCTCTTAAATCAGCCATCACAAAAAATGAGGTTCAAAAGAAATTGCTTTTATGAAAAAATTCACTATGACCAGAGTGCACCTTCCCTCGTGACACCACTAGGTGCACTACCTCAGAGTGAGTTGCTCAATGCTGGTCTAGTGGGAGAAATGTGTACGAAAGCTGTTCCTCCCAGCACAATTCATACCTTAGTTTAAGTGTACATGGTCGCTTCTTTTACTGTTGTCAATGAGGTACTATACTTCACAATAAGGAATTCTTCCTAACATTAAGAATTTGAGGTTTTAGGCTGGAAACCCTAAAGAAAATTTTGTTCAGTTTTCATGGTGGCTTCTTGTCATTAAAGTAATGACCTTGAATGAGATGCTCAACAAAGAAAATGAGTAACTTTATCTTACCTGGAGATAACCCAGCGGAATCAGTCTGGTTTTCACTTTCTTCATCAGTACTTTCATTGTAGATAGCATCTCTGCCAGCATTCATTTGAGAACAGGTTGCAATTTCCCTAGAAACAGAGAAATTATTAGCCCTCACCTGCCTTGGTACCAAATCAACCAATAATTAAGTATAGAATGTATCCCTGGAAAAAACTACAATTAAACAAACATGTTAAAATGTATATGACTACATAAATAAAGCCTCTTTGAAAATGATACATTAACTTCCTTAAGAAAGCATTCCCCTTTCTCCTAATCAAGTGATTTAATGAAGACCTTGATAAGATGGATTCACACAGAGGCTGCAAGAATGGTTTAAAACATATGAACAGCTATGCTGGCATAGAACTAGGTGGTGTTCATTCTGTTGTTCATAGGGTTGCTATGAAACGGAACTGGCTGGATGGCACCACTTAACAATGATTAATTCTTTCTTTTTCTTTTTTTTTCAATGATTAATTCTTGAACCCATTTCTTATCACTTATTCTTCCTCCAACAAAATCTTACACTAGAATAAATTATTTTTGTGGGTCAGAGAATATTTAACATTATACTGATCTTAAAGCAATTTACATTTCACTTGAACCCCCCCAAATCCTAAGAGATCATTACTTTTATCCTTAACATGAAGATAAAGTGAAATACAGAGGTATAAGGGACTGCTCAAAATCATGCAATAACAGATCCTTTAATAGATATCAGTGTTGGAACAGCACTTGAAGTAAGACCGGCTGACACCAAACAGTATGTTCATTAGCAAGCTTGTGCTTTTGCTCAGCTGCATAGTTAAAAAAAACCCAACATAGCATGTATTTACTCATGTTTGGGAAAATTATAATGATCTAAAACAGCGGTTTTCAACCTATGGGTCGTGACCCCTTTGGGTGTTGAAGGACCTTTTCACAGTGGTCGCCTAAGACCATTGCAAAATGCATATTTCCGATGGTCTTAGGAACTGAGACACTGCTCCTCTATCTGTCTCCAGGCAGGTCCGCCCACATGCAGATACGCCCACATGGATA